TGTTTTAGCCAATAAAAATGCAATATATTCAGCTAAAATCGGTAGCTGGTGATTAGGTAAAACAAAGGATTATATATACAAATTATCCACATTGTAGTATATGGTATACATATTTGAAAAGTTTTAACAATGTTAGGGAACACTAACACTTCTCAGTCAATCAGTATCCAGATTTCATTACTGAAGATATCTCTTTTTATACAAGATATTTTTGCATTTTATAATTTCAGGGGCATAATAAATTAAACTGGATCTTATTGACAAATAAAACAGAGTGATTCTATAAATGAAGCAGGTGCTAGGCCTCATCAATTTTATTTAAAATATATATATATATATTCCCTAATTGTATAATGCCTATTAAGTTTGTGAAGTTTAAAGTGCTTTACTTACTAATTACATATACCTCTTTTATGAGTCCTATTACACTATTTACTACAGCTATTTCTAAAGTTAATTATTTATTAAGATTATGCAAGAGAGTTTCATTCTTGAATGGGAAGAGAAACAAAGCTTTGGTCCTTAAGGAAATGATGCCATTTTATTTTCACAGAGTTAGCTTAATAAATTCTCTTTATTATTATTAATTCTGAAGCTGATAATAACATCACATCATTTGGGACATGCAAAAATCTAATTTGTATAATTCACATTTATAGTAACATCCAACTTAGTAACAGGAAATTTGGGAGTCAGAACATCTTACAATAATAAATGGATGTGTAAGGTATCAAAGGATGATATTTGATATGTACTTTTCTGACTATTTTAAGTTTAATCTTTAAAATGAAAAAATAGTTTCTTTTTTCTAAATATATTTTATTGATTTTTTTACAGAGAGGAAGAGAGAGGAACAGAGAGCCAGAAACATCGATGAGAGAGAATCATCGATCAGCTGCCTCTTGCACACCCCCTACTGGGAATGTGCCCGCAACCAAGGTACATGCCCTTGACCGGAATCGAACCCAGGACCCTTCAGTCCGCAGACCAACGCTCTATCCACTGAGCCAAACCGGTTTCAGCAAAAATGAAAAATAGTTTCTTAATAAAGTATGTTTTGCTGTAATTCCCCTCATTTGTTCTCTACTTACAAAAATAATAATTGAGACCATAAAAATTAAATTTAACAATATAAATACTAGCGTTCTCCACAATGTTACTTACATGTCATTCACCTAACTCAGTGGTGGGCAAGCTCACTAGTCAACAAGAGCCAAATATCAACAGTACAACGATTGAAATTTCTTTTGAGAGCCAAATTTTTTAAACTTAAACTTCTTCTAAAGCCATTTCTTCAAAACAGACTTGCCCAGGCCGCACGTGGCTCAAAAGCCGCAGTTTGCGGACCATGGACCTAACTCACAAATATAACTTTGGAATAACATTATTTAATTCATTCCACAACATTCATTAAGCTTCTTTATGTACCAGGCACCCTGGTAGATACTGGAAATTAAATTATTAATGAAACACACACACACACACACACACACACACACACACAGAGGCCCACTGAATAAAATTTGTGCAAGGGGCTCAGCCCTCACAGCTGCGGTGGCTTGCCTTGGCCCTCACAACTCCAGCTTCGACCAGAAGGACGTCCAAAAGGTCGATTAGCTGTCTGGTCTAATTAATATATTACGTTTTTATTATTATAAACATATATATATTTTTTTATTGATTTCAGAGAGGAAGGGAGAGGGAGAGAGAGATAAAAATATCAATGACGAAAGAGGATCATTGATTGATTGCCTTCAGCATGCTCCTTACTAGGGATGGAGCCCACAACCCAGGCATGTGCGCTGACACGGAATCGAACAGTGACCTCCTGGTTCATAGGTCAAAGTTCAACCACTGAGCCATACCGCCAGCTGGGCTGAAACACTTTTCTTACCCTCAAAGAGCTTTCTCGTTGGTAAAGGAGAAAATCATAGATAACAGCAAATGGGTGATAGTAAATACTATAGTAGAAGTATATATATATATATATATATATATATATATATATATATATATCCTCTTATGCAAGTTTAAATGAAAGAGTGATCAACTCAGCTCATCAAATAACTAAATTTCATAAAGATATATATAAATGCTAGTTTAAAATATAAATCTCAAAGAATATCATACATATTGATAATAATTCTGCTTATTTTGACAGCAACAATTCTTTACAAAAAATTTACTCATGTTTCAAGACATACCAGGAAGATAACAAGGAATTATACTTGAAAAGATGTTTCAAATGCTAGTTAAGATTTTTACAAAGATGTACTACTGGTAAATATTAGTTAAAATCTTTGCATGGCCCTGGCCAAGCAACACAATTGGTTAGAGCAGTGGTCAGCAAACTGTGGCTCTTGAGCCACATGCAGCTCTTTGCCCCCTTGAATGTAGCTCTTCCACAAAATACCATGTACAGGCACACACGTACAGTGCGATTGAAACTTTGTGCCCACGTGCAGAAGTCAGTTTTCGGCTCTCAAAAGAAATTTCCATTGTTGTACTGTTGATATTTGGCTCTGTTGACTAATGAGTTTGCCGACCACTGGGTTAGAGCGTTATCTGGACATACCAAGGTTGATAGTTCAATCCGAAGCACTTACAAGTGGAGGGGGCATAATTTATGGTGACAGTGGATGGTGTGACTTTTGGTGGCGGGCAGACAGTGCAATATACAGATCTTGTGTCATAGAAATGTACACTTGAAACCTATATGATCCTATTAACCAGTCACCCCAATAAATTTAATAAAAATTTAAAAAATGAATGCATAAATTAGTGGAATAACAACGTGATGTTCTCTCTCTCTCTCTCTCTCTCTCTCTCTCTCTCTCTCTCTCTCTCTCCTCCCTCCCTTTCTCCTTCCTTCCCTCCCTCTAGAAAAATCAATTTAAAAAATTTATTTGAAGTCTTTGCAGCCTGGCAGGCATGACTCAGAGGTTGAGTGTTGACCTATGAACCATGAGGTCATGCTTTAATTCCTGGTCGTCAGGGCACATGCCCGGGTTGCGGGCTCGATCCCAAGTGGGGCATGCAGGAGGCAGCCAGCCGATCAATGTGATTCTCTCTCATCACTGATGTTTCTGTCTCCCTCTCTCTCCCATTTATTTCCTCTCTGAAATCAATTAAAATATATATATTTTAAAACATTTGCATATATTAACTCATTCTGACCCCACAAGAACCCTATTAAGTGTTTTCTATTATCCCCATTTTACAGATAGGGAATCTGAGGTTAACTTGACCATGGTCACATAGACAACAAGAGGAACTGCTGGGACTTGAACTTACAGAATCTAAGTCTAGAGGCCCCACTCTTAACCAACTGTATTAGACATCCTCTCTAAGGGGGAGGTGATGACGGAACAGCTAACACCAAGTGCTCTGTGGCAGGCATTCTTAGTCATCCTTACAGCAGCCTTTAAGGAAAAGTCATCCTTCCCATTTACAGGAGAAAGTCAGCAGAGGCCAGTTTAAAAGTTGCCCAAGGTCAAACAGCTATCTAAGGATGGCAGCAAGATTCAAACTCAGGCAGCCTGGCTCCTGTGCTTGAGGCCTCTCAAGGATTCAGTCCGACACCCAGGCAAAAGGCCACATGACAAATTTACTAAACACTTCAAAAAGGCTCTGTGTAAGTCTTCCTGAAATACTCTGCAGGATTTGGGAGCTTATGACAAGCATTTCCTCACCATAGCATTTACATTTGAGTCAACTTGACTACTTTAGGCTGATCATAAACACATTTCTGCTCTTCAAAAAATAAATGTTTCTACAGAAAACTGGCAGATTTTAGTACAAGTAGACTATTCTTTAAACTTAAATTTAGTAACCACTTATTCTGATTAGTCTGAAAGAGAAAGAGAGAATGAACTACTAAGAGGCCTTTCCTATACTTTAATGTATCAAAACACGTTTGGTTTGGCCTAATTTGAATCTTGTGGACAACACAGACCAGAACTTGATACAAAAAAAGAGTAATAACATTTTAAATAGGCTGAATTCTCAAAAGTAACCTCAGAAGCCGATTCAGAGTAACTACTCAGAGTTTTTACTTTTATCTCCAATTAAATACTAAAAATGCATAAGGCAAGATTCTCATAAAGCATAAAGCAAGTACGTATACTTCTGAACTACCAACAATCAAGAAACCAAATTAAATTTTTACAAAACTCTGCAGCATGGCATTGCTTAAGAGCAATCAAAAATACAAAAGAGGGATAGCACAAGAAAAAAAACAAACTCAAAAAACCACCACTATTTTTATCCTTAACACCCCCCACTGGGCCCAGTGCCTGAGAAACAAAAAATTCGGTGTTGTAATTTCTTGCTAGACAAGAGGTGAGCTGAAGATGCAGGAGGAAGCTGGATTTTCATCTTACCTTGCTTTCCTCCAACAGGTTCAAAGACTTCGTAGCCTTTACTTTAACAGTGAATTCCTTTTTTTTTTTTTTCCTCCCTAAAGGAAACCTATAAAACTATCTCACAATAAAAATAGGAAGCCACACCACTAGGCAACCTGCCTTCCCTTGCTCTAGTATCGCACATTCAAATCAGAAATGCCTTTTTTGTCTTGCCTTTTTACTAAATAAAAGTTGGGACTTTGGTTTGGAGGAACATGTACCCAAGGAGCCATTGTACACTTTTTTTTGCAGGTCACAGAGCCTCTTATAATAGATCACACTGCTGACTTATTACAGTTCAAGGAAGCATCCTAAAGACAGAAAGTGTGCCATTACCGCTCATTCGACTAAGCCTTTCTAATGCCCCGATGGTGGAAGCCTGGCAATACCTAGAAACACACACAGCAGCAGGGCTGGGGCAGAAGGAGGGGCGTGGGGGAGCCAGAGCTGGGGGGGGGGGGGGGGGGGAGGCAGTCTCCACCTCCAATGCACGCCGGACCCGGAGCCCTCTCCCCACAAGGCGACCCCTGCCCTCCCCGGAGTGGACGGCACCCCCATTTCCCCATCGCTCCCCCCAAAACCCCGCACGGCACTCACCCTTCCGCGGAGAAGTCGCGCCGCTGGGTCCAGCGCCGAGACGGGTCGGGGTGGCAGCGCGGAGGGGGCGTCTGGGCTGCGGTCGGGGGTGCCGGGCGTCCCTCGCGGGCAGGAGAGTCCGGGCGGCGGGAGCCGACAGGAGCGGGGAAACCGAGTCACGGCCGGAGAAAAAGGAGAAACGTGGCGGGGGAGGGAGGGGGGAGGAGGTGGAGGGCCCCCGTCCCTAAAATAAACTCTGGGTCCCCTGCGACCCCCTGCCCCAGAGAGGGAAAATAAAATCCCCAGGGGAGAGTAACAAGGCTGATATAAATAAATCTCCAAAACGACGAGGAGGAGCGAGGAACAGACTTTTAATTCAAAGCGGGGGACGGAGCGAGGGCTGGAGGGGAGACCCGAGTCGCTCTGGGTCTATCCCATGCCTTTGCGGTCCCCGAGCTGAGGAGGAGGCTGGCTGAGGGGAAGTTGCAGCGGCTCCTGAGGAGGAGGAGAAGGAGGAGAAGGAGGAGGAGGAGGAGGAGGAGAGGAGGGAGGCGGAGGAGGAGGAGGTTACACCGTAACCAGTACAGACAGACAGCCATGGATCAGAGGGGCGCTGCGAGCAGGGGCGGCCGCGGCGGGGCGACCAGGGGCGGCGGCGGCGGCGCGACCAGGGGCGGCGGCGGCGGCGGCACCGCCCGCTCAGCTCGCTCTGGACATGTAACGGGATGGATGGGCTGTGCGGTGACTCACAGACTTCACAGAGCCGCACAGCGAGCGGTCCCCGCCCAGCTGGCCGGGGGGATGCGGCGGGGACGGCAGCGGGGGAAAGGGGGTCGCGGACGAGCCCGGGGAAGGGAGGCGGCGGCGGCGACTGAGAGGGCGAGGCGTTGGGGGGCGGGTTAGGGCGGGAAGCGGAGCGGAGCCACCCAATGGCGAAGCCCGCCGCTCCGACGGGCGTGAGCGCTGACCAATGACAGCGCGGCTCGCTCGGCGGCTGGCTTTTCCCCCTCCCTCCCCTCCTCCCCAGCCCACTGAGTCTACTGAGGACACTGCCGCGATCGGGGCGGGGGAAGTGGAGTGGGGGGCGGGGGAAGTGCGGTGGGGGGGGTGGGGAGAGTGGGTGGACGTTGAAGTGGGGGGTGGAGGGAAAGAGGAGGCGCCGGGAGACCCGCGGAGTCACTCGGCTCGCCTCGCTTCAGAAGTGGCGCCTCCCACCAATCCAAGTGCCGCCCGGGGGTGATGGACACCAGTGTGTGACCAATGAGGAGCGAGACAGAGAGGAAGAAGTAGGCGGGCCCACGCCCTCCGGCTCCCTCCCGCCCGCCCGGCTGGGGTCAGTCACGCAGAGAGCAGAGTGAGGGCTGGGGCCGCGGGGAGGGGAGGGGAGGGGAGGGGGGAGGGGGAGGGAGCGTAGGGCCCTGCTGCCGGCGGCGTGACTGCGATCGCGACAGGCTGTGGAGCCCACACGCGCCGGCGGGAGGAGGCGGCGGGGGCCGGCTGGCTCCTTACTCAGCCTGCAGGCTGCGGCTGCTGCTCCTCCGCCTCTGCCGTGCGCAGCCGGGAGCCCCGAAGGCCAAAGCCCACACCCGAGGAGCAACCACATTGGGAGTGAATCAGATCAAAACTTTGCCCACGTCCGTGCAGCGTCTACTCTCTCGGAGGCAGCTCTGTGCTCTAGGCAGCTGGAAGGCAGAGACCGGAGGCTTGGCAGTGGCATGTGCGTCCTTGCTTTGCCTCTTTTCTGGGGAAGTCAGGGCAGGGTGTGGACAGGTTGAAACAGCTCCTGAATATGTACCTTTTTTGTTGTTGTTGTTTTTGTTTTAATGGAGTTTCCGGAAAAGGCACTTCTGAACCTGGCACGAGCGAAGCTGTATAGATGGGCTTTTGTTTTTTTTAAATGCATGCATGCACCTTGGCTTCCTCCCGTCTGCAACCTCTGGCCCATTCCCTGCCCAGCCTCCTCCACCTGCTACCTGGGGGCAGTGCTAGGGAGTACTCACGATTAGATCTTGTCACTGCTCATTCCCAGGAACTATGGCTTTTCTCCGCTTCTTGCCCACTGTCCAATAATCATTTTATAGACCTTAACCCTTTCTGAGTACGTTTGCAAGTAACTGTGATTACCAATCAACCTGAATAGAAATGCGCACAAAAAGTGGTTACTTCTTTCCCACGCACCTTGACATGTACGACAGTTGCTTCCTATCCAAGGAAAGGAAAATCATATCCCTGCAAAAAGAGGTTTTCAAAACCACTTAGAAGGCCCATTGTCCATTTGCCTTAGACAAGTCAACTACAGAGACCAAGAGTTGATTTAGGGTCCCCAGGTGACCTGGATAATGTTTTATTTCCCATAAGATTAAAATCTAAAGTGGTCTGGAAGTCAGGGAACATGAACGTTTGCTCTGGTCACATTGAAGTTTTCCTTGATTATTGTCATTTTAGGGTATGATTCTCCCTCTCAGCTGTAACAGTGAGACCCAGCCTGACACCCTTTCCTCTTCCCTTTCTGATTTTAGCCCTCCTCCATGATGTCTGCCTGTAATCCTGAGTCCACCTAAGAAAATGAGTTGCCCTGCAAACCTTTGCAGTACCTAGCTTGTGCATGTGTTGTCCCTCTGTGTTGAAACACCTTTGGAATTCAGCAGAGCAAGGAGGCCAGTGTCCTCACCCCAGGACACTGATCTATGAAAGGTAGCCGGTGCTCTCTTGCCAGGTCACCCTGTGATAATCTAGCCCAATGGTCGGCAAACTCATTAGCCAACAGAGCCAAATATCAATAGTACAACGATTGAAATTTCTTTTGAGAGCCAAATTTTTTAAACTTAAACTTCTTCTAAAGCCACTTCTTCAAAATAGACTCGCCCAGGCCGTGGTATTTTGTGGAAGAGCCACACTCAAGGGGCCAAAGAACTGCAGTTTACCAACCACAGATCTAGACAAACTATATCCCTCAAGTGGGAAATATTACCTCCATTTCTAATGTGTGCTTTTGTACTACATTTAGAACGTGCTAATGATGAATTTTTAAAAAATATTTTTTATTGATTTTAAAGAGAAAGGGAGAGGGAGACACAGAAACATCAATGATGAGAATTATTGATCAGCTGCCCCCTGCACTCCTCCTACTGGGGATTGAGCCCAAAACCCAGGCATGTGCCCTCATCAGGAACTGAACCATGACCTCTTGGTTCCTAGGTCAATGCTCAGCCACTGAGTCATGGTGGCAGGGCTAGCCAAACCTAATCTTACTGCTGAAGTAAGAAACCTAAACGTGAAATCAATTCATGAAAATCAAAACTATTCCTGCATGCTAGTACTAATAAACTAGAAAATACAGCAAAACTGTAAAGTTAAGAATTCACCTCAGATAGAATGCACAAGACCTTTAGGAAGAAAATATTTAGTCTATTAAAAGACTCCAAAGAAGATCTAAGTAGGGGAATATGTAATATTTGTGGATAGGATTGTTAAGCTCTGAATGATCTCTAAATCATTTATTCATAATCTCAATGTAAACCTTTCAAACTTGTAGTAGGATTTGAGGAATTTAAGCATCCTGAAATGCATACAGAAGACTAAATTCCATTATAACCTGGCCATTTTTAAAAAAGAAAACCTGAAGGAGGGGAAATTCACCCTTCCAGATAGTAAGACATATTATGTTATAGTAACAGGAATGCAGAACAGAATAGAGAACTCAGAAACAGCCCATTTACCTATGAGAACTTGGTATGCAATAATGGCAACAGCACACAAAATCTATGATGAAATCATGCTGAGATAGTCAACTGTTGCTGCAATAATAACATTATATAACAAATAATCCCAAAAGATTAGTACCTATAGCAGCCATTGTTTCTTCTCCTTCATGAGTTTGTATGTGAATCGAGATTTTGCTGATCTCACCTGGGCTCATCAAGATTTGGCTGGGCTCAGCCAAGTTCAGCTGGGGCTGGCTCCAGGACACAGGTAAAGTTCAGGTCTTCATCACATGTCTCATTCTGGCCATGGCAGAAGCAGAAAAAAAGTGAAGTCAAATCACTCAAACACATTCAAAGCCCCTGTTCCCATCACACCTTCTAACCTTCATTGGCCAAATAAGTCACATGGCCATGTCCAACCTCACTAGTGAAAGAACTGCAAAATCACATAGCAAAAGGCCTGGGTATATAAATCTATAGCAGGAAAGACATAAAGGGTTGGGAATGATAATCCAATCTAACACAGAGGTTTCTTAAATAATATTAGGAAAATTGGTTCATTGTGGAGAAAAAGATGCATCCATATCTAATACCATATGCAAAGGTATGAGCCCTCAGTGAATTTTAAAAAGCCTAAAAGTCAAAGGGAAAGTTATAAGGCCAATAGAAATTAAAAGCAGAAGAATAGCTTTGGAATCCTAGGATAGAAAAATGCTTCTTAAGTAAGACTCTAAAAGCATAAACTATGAAATCAAAACAATGATAAACCATACTAAATCAAAATTAGAGTTTTCTATTCAACAGAGAACATCATACATAAGATAAAATTGATAGATTGAGAGATATCCCCAAAGGTTAAAACCAACAAGAGATTAATATCTAGAGCTGAAACCAGTTTGGCTCAATTGATAGAGCGTCGGCTTGGGGACTGAAAGGTCCCGGGTTCAATTCCGGTCAAGGCATGTACCTTGGTTGCGGGCATATCCCGGGTGGGGAGTGTGCAAGAGGCAGCTGATCAATGACTCTCTCTCATCGACGTTTCTAACTCTCTATCTCTCTCCCTTCCTCTCTGTACAAAATCAATAAAATATATTTAAAAAAAAACGATTAATATCTAGAATATTCTAAGAATTCCTGCAAATCATTGAGAGAGAAAACACACACACACACACACACACACACACACACAAACAACCCACAGAAAACATAATAGAAAAATAGCCAAAGAATATGAACAGCCAAATTTACAGAAAAGAAACTTGAGAAACTAACAAGTAGATGAAGAGATATACAGATAAAAGCATATTAATACAACAAGACACTTCTTTATATGCATTAAATAGGCAAAAATGTGAAAGATGGTTAACACTCAGTGTTGGCTAGGCTGGGAAGAAGCCATTGCTATTAGAATTAAGTCCAGGTCATTTTGGAATTGTCTTGTGTGCTTTTGTACTGCATTTAAGAATGTGCTAATGATGCATTTTTTAAAATTTACGTGTGTTTTCCCAATGGCCCAGCAGTTCCCCTCCTGGGAATATACACCTCTAAGAAACTCTTGCACAAGCCCATAACAGGACACAATTGAGAATACTCATCACAGCAGCCTTTGAGATAGCAGCGTATTATATGCAAACTTAGTACCCATCACCTGTAAAATGGTAAGCAAAACCATGAATACTCTGCAATGACATGCAGCTGTTGGAAGTAATGTAATAAATGTAATCTTGCAACATGGATAAATCTTTAAATGATGTTATGCCTGAAAAAAAGGATAAGAAAGAAAACAAGATCACGTAAGCCCCGGGCCTTGGGATGTGTTTCATTATAGGATGCATCAATATGTTTTTCATTTCTGCTCTTATCCGGGGCGCTCAGAGGGGAGGCGACGGAAGGTGCTGTTACGACTCACTTCTGACTCAAATATTCTCCTCCAGTTTTCACATGAAGTTGTGGCAAGCTTTCCTGCAGGCCCTTCCGCCACTTCCCCCACTTACTCCTTCTGCAGGCCCATAGCTTCTCCCCCCATGGCAGGCTCTGTCGCCTCCCTGATCCCCCGTATGTGGTGAATATACATGTGCCTGGTTCTAAGCTTCCTTCCCAGGCTGGGTGGGAGATGAGTGATGGTTCTTGAGGAGTGGGCTGCAGTCAGGGATGTAAAATACCATCTTGCCCCTGTGCTACTCACACCTGCCTACATCCCCA